TAATTCGAATAATAAATGTGCAATTTCTATAATTTGATCTTCCTTCTCATGTTATATAATATATACTTTTAATTATGATGTATTCTTTAAGTAGGTACAAGTGGTTTAAAGATACGCAAGTTGATAGCAGGATGATCAAAACACTCTTCAAAAATTTTAATTTTATAGTATTTTATATATTGTATTTTTTACTAATATATTATATTAAATTCACATTGATTATATTACGAGATAGAGGTATATAATAAATTTTGTTTTAAAGAAAACTCTATACTATAAGGTGGTCACTTCATCTATTCATTTGAAGTTAAAATCACGTTATGAGTTTTCAAAATTCTAACACTAAACAATGGACAGCCTTAGTATAATGCAAATTTCACCCCTTATCAAAAATGCGATATTTTTCGAATATGTGCAAATATGAGCTATTTCGTCTTTCCACAAAAAATATATTGGTCTTCGATTTACTTTCATCATCTAAAAAATGCAAATTTGTCACTTTTTTGTATCAATGAAACGTAATGATCAATGAATACTATTTTGAAAAATAATAAAAAATACTTTACACTACAATTTTAATTGCAAATAGCAATTATCCACAAATGAGAAATTCTACATTTCTTCGTTTGCAATTCTGCCGAGTCTCACGTTGGCATAATATCAAATCCAAGTCGCAAGGGCGAAAGTTTAATCGAGTAGTCATTATGTTTGACCGGATTCGACGGAAGTAAAGAAATTGGGAGGGGAAGCGAATACGCGATGCCCGCGCTTGCGCTAATGCATACGTATGTGTGTATGTGTGTATTCGTGTCGATTACGCAAGAGAGAGAGAGAGAGAGAGAGAGAGAGAGCTAATTGCATCGGTAAATCATCCTCTAACCAGGAGGGTGGGAGCCTAGTCGCAGCCACTGGCAACCCTTTATTCTGTGTTATTACAGTCTAAAGTTACCCCGTGTAATTGTTGCTGTTTAATTGCAAACTCTAAGTCGTCTCGTTACAGGACGCGCAGCGCTGCGAGTAATTGCCCTCTTCAAATTTACCTACCAACCTGCCTGCTTTTTAGCGGCACGATCGCAGGCGCGCAGGGGTCGCACCGAATATTCCGCATCAGGCATATTTTATCGCGAGCGCGCGTTTTAATTGCGCTCGTACATCATCCGCGACACACGCAACGCGATTGTTACAACAAATATAATGACCGGACTGAGTGCGCGGGGCCGTCTCAATTTACTTTCTTCGCAATTCCCCTTCTTCTTCGCTTTTCCTCCCCCCAACCCCGAGACAACGTCGACCGGCTTCCACTCTCTGTCTGCGAACGTCACGCATCCGCGATTCTTTCCAAAGGATTCCCCAATGACTATCCCCCACCGTTTCGAATTCGTTTTTGATCTTGACGTGCGAGCCACCCTCCCCTTACCCCTTACCAGGCCAGTTTACATCGCCGCGAGTCGCGCGCGACCGGGACGCATTGTCAAAGATAGACAATGCTGGACGATAAAAACGTAAAATTGATGCTCTTTTGTTCACATTGTTTGAGACGCTGCGCAACGTTTGCCACACGCCTGGACGAACCATTGCTATTGGCTTGAAACTACATCCTCCACCTCCGGCTCCTGTATCATATCCCCTGTTCTCTCTCCCTCTTTCTGTCGCCATTCTCTACCGACAGAACGGCTACAGATTTCCTCTCTCTTCCTACCTGCTCTATCTACTCTCTCCTGCTCGTTGTTACCTCCTCTCTCTCTTCCCCCCTTCCCCCCCTCCCAAAAACGAGTCACTTCGACCGTAAGCCAGTATTGTATCGCTCCACTGGCTTTTGTGCAGTCGTTTGTACGCTTCCCGCCATTGAATCGCTACAGGTCTCCGCCGTCTCGTTTCATTGCCTCATATTGTTTAAATGTCGTACCGTGGCCCGGAGATAATTAAAACCGACGAAAAAAGTAACGGGCGATAACGTGCGAGTTTGATAGATAAATCCACGACGATTGATCTTATTCACTACAATTGATTTTGTTTAATGTTGCGTACCTCGTATATCACCTTGGAGCAACATACGATCTATAGGAGTCATGGAAAGAGTTGATCTCAATGTCTTGTTCGCAAACATTGATCTCAATCGAACGTGAAAATACTTGATATTCG